AACGAACCGGACTATTTTGCAGACCAAGAGCACTAGCAGCTAGCAGGTCAAAAGGCAAGGGGCGACACACACGCATCCTCTTCTCTCCCTTTCTCTGTCTGTGCTTCCTTTCCCCTTCTCCAGATCGACAACCATGGCTGGGCTCTCCAAGGATTCCTACACTAAAACAAATCTCTGTGGTTTCTAGCTGCTATGCACTGGTTTTCCCCTTCGATCCCCCTTGATTTCTCCCTCTCTGATGCGTGCAGGTCGGCGGCGGCGGCATGCTTCACCGAGGTGCCGAGCTCGGCAACCATGGCGCCCAGGCAGAGCCAAGGAGGCCCGAGCATGTTGATGTGCGGAGATTTGGACTCCAGCAATAACCCTCCCTAACTTGACAGTGAGTTCTTCTCCCCACATCTTCATGTTCTTTTTTTTTATAACCTAGCCTGCAAAAGTTACATACTTGAGAGCTCTAGTGTAAGTTTTCGTGTTAGAGTTTCATCCCAGGTTTAAGTATGATGTGTGTGCCTTGTGCAGAAAAAGGATTCTAGTTCTTGTCCTAGTAACAGCTAGCTCATATTTCTCTTGCAGCTTGAACATTTTATCTAGTATATTTGTTTGATGTGCAAAATTGCTACAGCCAAGATATCTATCCCATTGGCATGTGTTCTGTGCTCTTCGTAGACCAAATGAAAACTTTCTCTAGGTTGTGTAGGTGAAACCTCACCTTAATATTGGAGACTTTCAGCTCCTGGCTTAGGCTTGTGCTCCCTCCCGAGCACCCCTTCTACTTGCAGATCTTGACTAACACTGCTTCTTCTCTATTTGATTGATCCTCACCTAGCCACTTCTCTTGACTTCCTTACTGGTCAGCCCCTTTCTCTCAACCCATGTTCTCTATGGGTGCTCACTGCTCAGGTCACCACATGTTGATGATGTGGGAGGCTGGTGGGTTTTCTCAGTCAAGGATTGGGCTAGGTGTTCTTGTTAGGCTTCAACTTAGAGCCTGTTCGGTTGGCTGGTTCGTATCGTTACTGGTTCGTGAAGAAGTACCGCTGGCTGGTTGGTTTGTATGAGAGAGAAAATACTGTTTCGACTATAAATTTACGATCGTTTACGACAAGCCACAGTCAAACGACAGACTGTTAGAGTGGAGACTGAAGAACTGGGTTGCTACTACGACGGGGGAATGCTCCTTTCACTTTGACTTAAACTGGATCCTGTATTAGTAGTGTACTCCCCCCTCCACGAGATATTCACCTCACTTCCCAGCTTGCTCAAGGGTTGTACAGTGATGTGGCAAGCTGATCAGCTTTTGGCTGATTTCGGATAATTTAATAGTATTCTATGAGAGAGAATAAACTACAACAAGCTGAAGCTTTTGACTAATTTCAGATAATTTAATAGTATTCTATGAGAGAGAATAAGCTACAACAAGCTAAAACACAAAGAGAACTTATCAACCGAACGGGCTGGATTGGCTGGATCCTTTCTAGAAGGGCATGACAGCTCAGTGGTGAATAAACTAGTACAAGAGTGGGTGAAATAGTTGCCACAGTGGTGTGTACTAGTGTGAACCTAGAAAATGTAAAGAATGGTGTGTGGTGTGTGTGATAATCTGTGAAGTTTAATTTCCAAGGATTGGCCTGAATCATGTAAAGAATAATTTCCAAGGATTAATACATGATTTGTGAATTTTTATGTCAATGTGTATCAATTATCTAGCCTGATGTAATTAAGAGGAACTGATGACTCACTTATCAAGGTTAATTATCAGCCTGGGCATTCGGTTTAAACCGACAAATCGGTTCGGTTTGTTCGGTTTCAAAAAATTTCGGTTTCCAAGCTATGGCAACCGATCGGTTTGTGAGAGAACTGAAAACCGACGAATTCGGTTTCGGTTTGTTCGGCTTGGTTTTTCGGTTTAACCGAACTAACTTGAGCATCGTCCGGCCGATCGCCGCCACGCAAGTCTCCTTTCTGCCGTCGCGTCTGGCGTGGCCTCTCCCATTGCGCCTTTGGCTTGCTCTGAGGCTGCGCGCGACCTTACGCTTAGGCCCCTCGCTTCTTTGACGCCACCGCAGCAGCATGCGGACGCCACCGCCACTGCCGCCGCTTTCGCCGCCCATTGCTTGGTCAATTCGCCGCTCCCTACCCGTCTCCGAGCAGACCTGCTCCGCTCCTTGCTGATCTCACTTGAAGCCGCTCTGTCATGCCACCCGCCAGCGCCGCCTTATGCTCCTCTCCTTGCTCGTCGTCGTGCTGCTTCGCTAGCTCGGCGCTCGCAATGCCACCACTTTCGCCGCTTCCGGACAGAGGCGCCAGAGTAGCCACACGACGCTCGCTTTGCCAGCAGGCACACTCATGCACAGCATTGCGCCAGCCATGACTTCGCTTCCATCAGGGCGCTTCATGACTTCGTCGGCGAAGTCGCACCCAACCGCCATGTCGCTCTCGCCGCAGCGTGGCCGCCGCTGCCGCCGCTTTCTCTCTGGTAGGGTTTGGGGCAAGTTCGCTCGCCGCCGCCTTGCTTGGTGTTTGTCTCGTGATCTGCGGTCCACCATTGCCGCCGCCGCCTAGATGCGCTGCGTCTTGTCTTGATCGCGCCTTGCACGAGGCACGCGAGCCGCCGCCACTCGGCCGCTGGGTGCTGGGAGTCTGTTAGGGTTTGGTGGTCTGTTGTGTGGAGTATTTATTTGGGGGAGCTAGTTGGGCTGACTTTGAGTTGGGCCGAACGACGGAAGGGAGGGCGTGGGCGATTGTTTTTGCGATTCTGGCATCCTAAGATGCAAATCTCGGTGAATCGGTTGCTCGGTTCGGCTCGACACAGAAACCGAAGCCGACACCGATCACCGAACTCGCTGAAAGCAGAAACCGAAACCGAACAACCGATACTTTGGTTCGGTTCGGTTTACGGTTTTCGGCTAAAATCTGCCCAGGCTGAGTTAATTATCTACTAAAAATGTGGGTCGTTACAATGTAAACCCTAGTCCCGTCAGTTTCGCTACCTGCATGCAAATAATTTTCAGATTTCGTTCCCTGCCAAAACTGATTGCTAGGAATATGTGCAGAGCGCACAGATACCATTTTGTTTCCAAACTACTTCGTTCCTCCGTCCTAAAAAGATGCTATTTTAGTATAGCGCTAGGTCAAATACTCTTAAATTTGACTAAATTTATTTACAAGATACTCCCTCCGTTCCAAACTATAAATCACTTTGATTTTTTTAAGTACATACATTTTGCTATACATCTAGATATAATAATACTTCAATTGCCAGATCATGAGTCGTTTTTGCTTTTTCAAGAGATATATATAGCTTTTATTATATATCTACACATATCTTATATTTAGGTATATAATATGAGTAAAATTTATGTATTTAGGGAAGTCAAAACGACTTACAATTTAAGACAAACGGAGTATCACTGAATTTTTGTTATGTAGTATATTTTTATAATATATATGTCTATTTAGAGTCATAAGTGTCGATACTATTTTCTATAAATTTATTCAAAATTAAAATAATTTAATTTGGACCAAACTTAGAATCGCAGTCTTTTTGCAATGGAGATATTACTTGATCAAGTGCATACTTGGACATGTACTATGTGTGTGTATATTCTATGAGTAATTCTACGAAAGAGGCATACTAAGACTTAGAATTACATGAAGGGGAGGTAGAAGCAAACAAAATGATACATCCGTCCTAGAATAATAAACATATCTTGATTATAAAAACAGAAAATAGATTTAAACTTTTATTTCTGTTACAGTATATTATTATTTGCTAAAGAACTAATTTTATATTAGACCTAAATACAAATCTATTGCTACAAGTTTCATATCCTTAACCTTAACTTGTATATAATTTGAATAATTATTTATTGAAATTTACCTCAAAAAATTTTCTCGGACAAGACACGTTTATCATGCCGGGAGTGAGAATGTGAGATGAGACCGGTAGAAATTCTATGCCGACGCCAGATCAGGGATGCCACATCACGGACCACCAGATGCGCAAGGCCGCTGGCCCCCTGCCCTCGGCGCCACCGCCACAGGTGTGCTCGTGGAGTCGTGGGGGTAACCAAAGTCAGCAACAAGCGCCACCGGCTCCGCTCGTGATGTGAAGCTGGTTGGGCACTTGGGCTCTAATGGGCTTTTTCGTCCTCTGAGCGTTGAGTGGCCCAAGGCAAGACGGATAAGTTATGTGAGTTCATTTGCTACACTAGTTACTCCCCCTGTTGGTTTTGTAAATGAAAAAATACTAAAGAATGCCCTGCCTATTACTGTGGGAATTACATGTAGAAATTGTACTACTTATCTCTACTATAATGGACCAGTCGAAATTATACTAGGTCCCCCCACGAAAACATCACCCGTTGAGAGCCTCCAACCATTGCGCACCCAGGAAAATGCACACACGAATGCAGCACCATTAAAATCAAGGGTTAATCAAACACCTTAACCAAATCCGATGGCTACAATTCGATGTGGGATGCCAGGCTTCTCACCCCGCCGCCCCCGCGCCCTCCATCTCAGGCCTCGCGACCAGAGACCGCGCATGATCGAAGCCTGTAATCATCACCGAGGTAATCATGAGCGAATAGAAAAAAGAAAAAAACGCCGTGCGAAACCTGCGGGGCAGCCGCCGCGCCGATCGCCCGTGGCCATCGCGCTGACGCCACATTCATCGTGCCGCCGCCGCGCCGATTCCCAACAAATTTGTTGCTGTGATGCACTGATTCCCAACAAATTTTGCTTCAATTTCATGTTTATCAGCACGCGCCTCGACGGTCTCTTGGACGGCGGGACTCAACGTTCGGCGCGCCGCGAACCACGGTGGCAACGGCCACGACCTTCTGCGCATCCTGTCTGCCTGAGGTCGCTTCATCCTGCACCCAACGGAGAAGCACACCGAGGTAACATAACTTAAAGATACGCGAGTACTCCGGCGTGCACTTCTCGGCGTCCAGCTTCATCAGGCGGCGCTCACCGTGCTGCTCGAGTACTCCGGCATGCTCCGTCCAGATCCCGACGACGGAACCCAACAGGCCGGTGCCGAGGATGGGTCGGGCGAGGCATCGATTTGTCTCACCGGCGGCGGCGCGGGGCGGACGCGACGACGCTACGGCAGCGAAGCGGCGGCGTGGTGCGGACGCGGCGCATTGTGCGAACGGCGGCGCGACGCACGGGAGGGGCCGCGCCCTCGAGGCGACACGGACGGAGACACGGCACAGGAGGGTGGCGCGGGCAGGGATCCTGGAGGATGGTGGCGATCTCGATGTACAGCGGCAACCTCCACATTGGTGGTCCCGACAGCGGCGCCCCAGCCGGCCCTCGACGCGAAGCGGTTCCGCCGCCTCGTGCGCAACTGCTCCCGCGCCGTCGCGCTCCTCGCCGTTCACCCAAACCAGGAGGAGGTGAGGGTCGTCCGAATTCTTCATTACCACTTCGCCAGCAGTTCCTTGTTTGATGATCGGTATCCCAGTGTATTTGCTACGGGACTATGCCACTGCTAACTGCTAATAGCAATCGAAAATTTAGAGAACAGTGTAGATACTGAGATTGTGTGTTGCAAGTTAAGCTGGAAATAAATTAAGTGTTGCAGTTCCTAGGACTGTAGGAGATATTGATGGATGCGAGGAAGAGTTAGGTTCCTCGAAGGGATTGATGACAATATTGAGTTCTGAAAGTAGATTCTACAAATTGGCATCTGCGTACAAAAAATGGCAGCTATTTCCCTCTTGCAGTGAAGAATGAAACTTCTGATTGACCAAAAGAGGATTATGCTCTTCTGTTAGTGTTAGGAACTTGGAATACTTGATTGCTACTGAATTCAAACTTATTTGATTTAAGACTGTTGTAATACTTGGAGACTAACTCTGGTGCTTTGTGATGGCATAAGTACTTAGAGTAGAACCAAATAAGGCTACATATTGCTTGGATCTTAATAGGTGTCTAAACATTTGACCTGTGTGCTTTGTTTTTGTTATGTTGCAAGCACTATCTATCTACGTGGCTTTATTGAAACAACCATTGTTTAACATTTATTCCAGGTGGGAATTGACGAGAAGAAAAGAAAGCTTAGTATAAAGGCGATGGACGTCCTAAATAAAAAGAAGCATGGCCTTGTGCAGATGCTGCTGGACGTCCTAAATAAAAAGAAATCTTTCAGGAAATTTACTTGCCACTTTTGACCTGGATCACTCCGTCATGAAAAGCTTTTTTAACAGGAAAAGCTCATCATTTTTTGCAGAGATTTCAGAGGTTGGAAACATTCAACGTATATGGTTTGAATGATCACATTTCTGAGGTTGAAAATGTTCTTCAATGGGAGCGACAAAGATGCACTAGCCAACTGTGAGTTTGTCCTTACAGGCTTACACATTGTTTCTTGCTAAGCTTTCCCTTTTTAGAAATTATATTTTTTATTTGTACAATGGATACTCGATCCTATCATGTTGTGCAATATGCCACGACTGAATTTTTTTAAATGTTCCACGGATATTGAAACACCATATGATCTGATACATTTCTCATGTTGCTCCTCACCATTTTCCTCATGCCAATGCTTTTGGTCGCTGGTTAACTTTGAATTTTGACACTAAAACATCACCATATTAATTTGCGTTTAGAATGGTTAAATAATCCGCTATCTGCTCACCCTGCACCATAGGTGTTTGTGCACTTGTGTAAACCATCATTTGGTACTACCCTAATTGAAATTCATATCCTTTTTTAAAGGTTGGGTTAGTACAAGTTAGGATTTGGAATGGTTATTGTTTAGTTCTTGTTTCTTTTAGATATAGAAAAAAATTGCAGGTCTTTTGTTTTGTGTCAATCTGGTATTGCTATGTCAATTCTATTATGGCAGTTCTATCAATATATTCAACAGATTCACATATTCTTATTCTCATATGGCTATATATGGATTGTTTTAGTGTTTTACACATCCATCCATATAGTCTTTACTGTATTAAGATAAGATTTTCCTTCCTACTTACACTTTTGTCAGAGCTGCTGCCAAGGCTTGGGGCGCGCCTCCCCTGGCGGCCGCAGGCGTAGCTGCCATGGCTGGCGGCGCTGCCACCCTGGCCGGCTGCTCGAGAGGGTGCGATTCAAGTCCGTCGTCGGCGACCAGCACCCACCAGGTATTCACACCTTCTATTCCCTCGTTGCTGTGCGAAACCGAGCAGCTGTAAGCCTTGTTTTGGTGATAAAAAGTATGAGTTTATAATTAAGGCGTCCTGTCATGTGGGCAGCACAAGGCCATCCACTAGCACTGTCTTAATATTGTTGATGTAATCAACATCCTATATAGAACAGGGAATCTTTTTGCAGCTTTCATGTTAACATTCCCCATAATTATGAGACCAAATGTTTTAGAAAAAACTTTACTATGACTTCTTAGTTTCCCGGATTGTATACATACTCAAAGATATTGTGTAAAAGTTGAACTATGGAAAAAAACATTGGTTGTTTTCATGTGCGTTTCCTAGATAAATCCATTGCGTTAGCACGGGCATTATACTAGTATTACTTATATGAATGAATAAATATCATAATACATGTTAGGAGATGATATTTAGCATTCTGATATAGACAACAAAATACTACCTCCATACTAAAAAATGAAGTCGTTTTGGACAGTGACACGATCTTCGAAGCATAACTTTGACTACTTATTTTTATAAAAATATTTATCAAAAAATGATATATGTAAATTTTTGTGAAAGTATTTTTCAAGATAAATCTATACATATGGTTTTCACATTTTCAAACTTAACAACTTAAAAGTTATTTATGATTTATATTCCCAATGTTTGACCTAAGCCTTGTCCAAAACGACTTCATTTTTTAGTATGGATGGAGTATATGTTAGTGAATGATGTGGTTTGCTGATGTGAATAGCTTAAATGAAGACATAATGACATGTACTAGTTGGATGTGCTAGTGGATGCTGATGTGAACACTTTGTATGACAAAATAGTTGCATATGCTAGTGGAATGTGCTAGTGGATGCTTGTCAGTGTTTTATAAACCAACGAGTGAATTTATGAGTATTACGCTGCTTTAGGAAGACAATGGTAGCACTCAAAGACACAAGGAGTTATACGGGTTCAGGCCGGAGCCCTAAGTCCAGTCTCAGAAATGGTTGCGAGTTCGTGTTTGCCGTTTCAAGTGCTATGAAGTCTTACAATGGAGTGTCTCAGCTAAGAGATTGGAGGTAGGAGGAGTGAAGTGAACGAAAGCCCGAATGGAGTTTCGAGAGTTCTTCCCCCCTAAAGGGAGGCCTGGCCGCCCTTATATAGAGTTCGAGAGCTACTTTACTTGTAGAGAGATGGGTTCTCCCGACCCGAGTGGTCGACGATCCGAGGAAGGGGGAAGCAAGTAAACTTGGCTGGCAAGCCATCATGTCTTGTCTTGGCGTCATCGTATGTTTGGGCACGGCCGTCGTCGTGGTCTTGCTCCCCATGCCGTGGCGTGGCATGGCGTGGTAGTGGATGCTGATGTGGACACTTTGGATGGCGAAATAGATTGGATTGAAAATATAAGATATATAGATATAGATTACTTCCCCATTTTAATCATTTGTTAAAAATAATAAGATGCTAGCACTCTCATCTCCTGTGAATCCATTCACACACCTTATTTTTATGATTACCTCCCAAAAATTAAACAACTGATAAATCTTGAGATTGACAAAGTCACTGCAGACGTTTTGTTATCGACGGACACGTTGACTACCACTAAAAGAACAATACCGTCACATTTTGGAAATTCAGGGAAATTTGAACACCCATGTCAAATCAAGAATTTAGATTTAGGTAGGCAGGTTTCACCACGAGAGATACAACCAGCCGAATTATGCTCAATTCGTAATTATAAATCAGTTTGACTTTTTTGAAAGTTAAAGTTTTCTAATTTTGATCAAGTTTTAGAAAAAAAATTTATTAACACTTGTCTCTATCTCTATCTATATCTACGACTAAAAAAACATAGAGGTTACCGTCCATCCGGCAAACTACATTCTGCCCGATCGTTGACCCCACCCGGCGCCTCGTGCACGTGTTCCCCGTGATGGCCGCTCGGCGCAATTCTCTCCGAGTGCCACTCCCTGTGAGACCCACACATGTCCTCATCATATGCCACCCGTGCGATAGATGGAAACTTCACTGGCCGAATACGAAGGGAGAAAATCATGAAAAAAATCTCACGCGGCAAACTTCCTGGTGCACGCGCTCCTCGTGATGGCCACCCGACGCAATTCTCTCCGAATGCTACTCCTCACGAGAACCACACGATCACGTCTGTCATATGCCACACGTGCAATAGATAGAAACTTCCCCGGCCCAATAGGAAGGGAGGAAGTCCATCCGGCGTAATTAACGCCCGTGAAAAAAATCTCACGTTCCTCGGCCGAATAGGAAGCCGCCCTTTGCAATCAATCAAATAATCTCAAAGAGTAAACTGATAATTAGATCGATCAATCAAATCTAAAGACAAGAAAGCGTAAAGAGTAGCCGGCCACCCAGCGTGCCATGTTGTCTGCTTTTCGTGGCCGTTTGATCGGCCACGCGGACGGCCCAGATCGGACGAGCCGCGGTCATTTTTCAAAAAACCCTTCTTTTTTCTGGAAATCAACCCGCGCTCCAAGTCCCTCTCAGGATATTTTGCAAAAAACACCTCAGATTATTTTGAAATCAACCCGCGGTCCAGAACGGATGCCCTCCGGATTTTTTTTCAAAAAAAACCCTTATCTTTGTCGAAAATCCACCTGCGCTCCATAAATCCTCTCATCATTTTTTTACGAAAACCTCCTCGGATTTTTTTCAAATCAACACACATGCCAACTTTGATTATATATATTTTTTTCAAAAAAAAATGTGTGGCTAGTGACCCGCGCGCATGGGCGCACCCGAAGGACTAGTAATATAAAAAAGGAAATTATTTTCATCAAGCAGACGATCGCCCATGATCGCGCGCAAAGTGTAATAAGCGACCGGTCGCGCTCTGCCTCCAGCGCGCGACGCCAGTCCACGACGGGCCGGCTTCGCCTCCTCAGGCCCAAGCATCAATCCCCAATCCGAGCGTCTCCTCCTTCCTTCGCAGCGCACCTCTGCGCTCCGACCGAACCTCCCGGAAGCCGAGCAAGCGGAGGTCAGGGCGAATGTACTGTCGTCTCACTACTAGTCAAAGAAGCCGGGTTGCTCCGCCGTTTTGCTCGGTCGCGGCCATCGCCCGGTCCCGCCGTGCCGGGCGCCCTTGTCGGTCCCTCCGCCGCTCTAGGTCGCGCCACCGTAACCCTGTTACCGCCATTGATCTGTTTTAGGGCGCCGCGAGGGAGGCAGAGACAACTGGCGATGGCGGCGTCCGCGAGGCCCGGGGAGAGGGCGACCAGCTTCGCCGTCGCGTGCAGCCTCCTCAGCTGCTTCGTCCGCCAGAACGGCAACGCGATCGCCGAGCTAGGCCTCAGGATCCAAGGTGAGCAGCGGAATCCGGCGCCGTCTGCGGCCAAGTCTGCCCTGTTGAGATCTGGCTCCTTCTGGAGTACTGGGTGTGGGGGAAGATTTCGAAATCTGGGGTTCAGTTTTGATTCCTGTTGGGGGCGTGCTGTGAGATCTGGGCGGGGCCTTGGTTTATTCGGGTTGGAAACCACGTTTTCGGGCTTCGAATTTCGCACTCCTTTTCGGGCTTCGAGCAGCAGACGACGCTGGCGACAATTAACTTGCTCCTCGGAGCGGAGGCCGAGGAGGCCGAGAGGAGGAAGGAGACCATGGAGCTGTTCCCTCAGAGCACCGGGTTCGGCGTCAAGGATGCTGCTGCCCCTAGGTGCGTACTACTGCAGTACTGCTACCGCTGCTTCACATCATGTAAATCCTTTTCGATTTTGGTTTGTGCAACAGTTGTTAGGTACTAGAACTCGAACCTAGTGCTCTGCTCTTGGGTCTCATGGACAAATAGCCAAGCAATTTGACTTTGGAAACATAGTATCTGAGTTTTATGAGTGTTCACAGGTGAAACATGGTCCAAAGTGGTCTGAAATCTAGTTGAGCCGGATGGTAAAATGACAGAGTAGGTTTACCTGTGTGTGAGTGTGTCAAGCATCCTTGTAGTTCGGTTCGTGTTGATATTCCCTAGTCAAAACTGTATCTTTGTAGTCTTTATATCGGGCAAAACAATCAGCAATTCAGCATGCTCAGGGTTGTTCTGAATCTAGTTCAGTTCACTGTCCAGTTTTTTTTCAGTTTCAGTGTTCTGAATCTAGTTCAGTTCTGGTCAGTTTCGGTTATCTGAATCTATTTCAGTTATCTGAATCTAGTTCATTTCACTGTCCAGTTTCAGTTTTCTGAATCTAGTTCAGTTTAGGTTCAGTGTATGAGCGTTCATGTTCCTACTGCTATTTCACTGTCCAGCAGTTTAGTTTCAGTTGACTGAATCTAGTTCATTTCACTGTCCAGTTTTAGTTCAGTTTCAGATTTCCGAAACTAGTTCAGTTCAGGTTGAGTTAATGAGCGTTCATGTTCCTATTACTACTCTTGTCCTGTTGCTACACCGTTGCCTTGCACGTAACCTGCATCACAGTTTGAATTACATTCATCTTCAGAGTTCACTTATTTTCAGTAAATTGTATTAGAGTTTCAGTTAATATATGCCTTGTTTTTAAATGGTTGACTAGTCCATCAAATGAAATTACAGTTTTTGGATTAGAGTTTCTAGTTATTTTAGTTTCAGATTTATGTTTTTTTTTTTTGTTTTTCATTTTGTCTTCTTTTGTTTTCAGTTTCTATTTATCAATCTAATTTCATTTTAATTTTTTGTTTTCAATTTCAGTTCCTTTTCTGTTAGCTAAGTAGACCCAATTTCAGTTTTAACAATTTCATTTTTTTTTTAGATTTTTAACAAATAGCTAAGTACAACTGAGTTTTGTGATTTGGTTTTTCAATGCTTTCTCTCTTTTTTTGTTTCATTATTTCGTATAATTTCAGTATAAATTTTCATGTGTTTGGAAGTCATGATTATCAGAATTTGTCATTTCACGACATCTTGCCACTTGCTCAAAATATAACTTGCTACATACTATGAATTAAACTTGCCACACAAGGTCATGCAGCTTGTAGGTTCTTTTAGTTTCATTTTGTTGAGTCATGAGTTTTTTCAGTGTCCCTTTCAGTTCAATGAGTAATGAGTTTCATTTTTCCCTATGTTATGAACAGGTATAATTCATTTCATCGCAGCATGTTTTTTGTTTTTTATTCTAAATTTTGTATGACGGCATGAGGAAGTCATTTTGTAATTATCAGAATTTAGACATTCAAGTTGCCGTATAATTTCTACCTGTAGTCCGGGTTTATACCACAAATCGGGACTACATTTTCCGGGCTTTATACTTTCTCCTTCCTCCCCCAGCCCGAGCCATTTCAATCTCTCTGCCTGCTCTCTGTTCTTGCTCATGGAAGGAGTTCATGCTTGCGGGATTGGTGAAGGCTTCATTCCTCCATCCATTCTTCGGTTCTAAAGGTTACCAACTTCATCCGCCCATGTTTCATCACTAATATGGCTTATTTCTTGTCTAGAAATAGAGAAATTTGTGGTTTTTTAGATTGGTAATGATGGTGTATTTTTTTATTTATATATCATTTGAGTTCGAAATCAGTTGATAGTTTGAATATGAAGATGAAGGAAGCTTATAATAGTTCATCAAAATTAGTATGCACCTTTCATTGCCTCATTTCATGGTCTAGAAATAGAGAAATTTTTTATTTTCTAGATTGAAAATAATGATGGATATTTTTTATTTATATGTCATTTGAGCTCAAAATCACTTGATAGTTTACATACGTAGATGAAGGAATCGTATAGTAGCTCATCAAAACTAGTATGCACCTTTCATTGCCTCATTTCATGGTTTAGAAATAGGGAAATAAAAGGCCTTTTTAGTATATAGCTCATTTAATTAATTTCATGGTTCACAAAATGAGAAATTTATAGTAGTTAGATTAAAATAAGTATAGAGAGTCTTAGATGGCGACTGCTTCCGGGTCCTCGGCCTCGCATGGGGTCCCTAAGCGACTGAGGCTGGATCTTCCTCTCATTACGTGTGGCAAGTGTGGGCAAAAGACTGTGAGGGAGTATAGGATGAAGAAAAAGGGTCCCAACCAAGGTCGCATCTTCTACACGTGTCCAGATTGCGAAGCGAGTAATTTGTTGTTATGCTTTGTAGCCATTTTTGTGATGATTTTGATTAAATTTTTTGATTTGTTGTTGTAATTTTAGTGGGATGGCACTGGATATGTGACAGTTGGTACTGAGAGGAAGAGTATGTTGAGCACGTCCAAAAATCTCTTGCAAAGGCGACTGAGGCGACTGATGAGAGTGCACCTTTGTCAGTGAATCAGCAGAAGAATGATTTGTTTGTTTTAGTTAGAATTGGTCATGAAATCCTTATTCTGTTGAAGTGTATTGTAGGTTTAGTTTGTTTAGTGCTATTTGGGATTGTCTACATTGTATCAAGGCTTTAATAAATTAATGTTCGAGAGTACTTGAGTTGTGTGGTATAGGATATCAATTAATCATGTTGATTGATGGATATTTTGGATCTTTTAATTAACTACTAAGCATGCATGTTGTATAATATGTGTTATTACAAGTTTTTGATGTGGTGTACGTCATATAATGCAGATGAACCAGCAATGGATGTACAACGCGGACCGCCGCTCCCCAGAGTTCATTAGGGGCGTGCATGAATTCATAAATGTGGCCAAGGCAAACACGCGGAATGGTTTTATGTGATGCCCATGTGTTCTATGTAAGAATGAGAAGGATTATTCTTGCTCAAGGATCCTACACGAACACCTATTTACGTTGAGTTTCATGCCAAACTATATTTGTTGGACTAAGCATGGATAAAGAGGTGTTATAATAGAAGAAGATGAAGGGGACGATGACAACATTATTATTCGTGGTTTTGCTGAATACGGTGCCTTTGATGATACTGTAATGGGGGAAGCTAAAGAAGAGGTGGTGGCAGAAGATGAGTCCGCTGATAATCTTGGTCAGGCCATCCATGATGCACAGAGAGAATGCGAAAGTAAAAAGGAGAAGATCAAGTTCGAGCGCATGCTAGAGGATTACAAGAAGTTGCTATACCCGACTTGTGAAGAGGAGAAAAAAAAAGTTGGGTGCCACACTTGAATTGCTGCAATGGAAGACAAAGAATGGTATATCCGACAAGGGATTTGGGGAGTTACTGACTATCGCAAAGAAGATGCTTCCGAAGGCAAACGAATTGCCCGCCACTACATACGCAGCAGAACAGGTCGTCTGCCCTCTGGGTTTAGAAATCCAGAAGATACATGCATGTTCTAATGATTGCATCCTCTACTGCGGCGAGTATGAAAATTTGGATGCATGCTCGGTATGCCATGCATCGCGGTATAAGATCAGGCGAGATGTCCCTAGTGATGTTGACGGCGACGGTGAACGTCCCAGGAAGAGAATCCCTGCCAAGGTAATGTGGTATGCTCCTATAATACCACACTTGAAACTTTTGTTCAGAAACAAAGAGCGTGCAAAGTTGCGGCAATGGCACAAAGAAGATCGTAAGGTAGACGATATGTTGAGACATCCTGCTGATGGGTCCCAGTGGAGAGTAATTGACAGAGAATTTTCGAAGTTTGCAGATGATGCAAGAAACTTAAGCTTTAAGTACGGATGGCATGAATCCTTTCGGGGAGCAGAGCAGCAGTCATAGCACTTGGCCTGTTACTCTATGTATTTACAACCTTTCTCCATGGTTGTGCGTGAAGATGAAGTTCATTATGGTGACAGTGCTCATCCAAGGCCTGAAGCAACCTGGAAACGACATTGATGTGTACCTAAGGCCATTAGTTGAGGAACTTATACTTTTGTGGAGTAGCACAGGCGTACATATGTGGGATGAGTACAAACAGGAACACTTTGACATGCGAGCATTGTTGTTCGTAACAATCAATGATTGGCCTGCTCTTAGTAATCTTTGAGGACAGTCAAACAAGGGATATAATGTATGCACGCACTGTTTTCATGACATGGAAGGTATATTTTTGAAAAAATATCGAAAGGTCGTGTACATGGGCCATCGTCGATTTCTTCCATTGAATCACGCCTTAAGAAAGAGAGGCAAGCATTTTAAAGGTAAGGCAGAGCGCCAAACAAAGCATGACAACCGTAGTGGTGAGGATGTATTTAATATGGTCAAGGATGTACAAGTAGTCTTTGGGAAGGGACATGGTAGACAACCTGTTCCGAATGATGCTAACGGGCACGCACCCATGTGGAAGAAGAAGTCCATATTTTGGTAGCTATTCTACTGGCAAGTCCTAGAGGTCCGCAACGCGATCAATGTGATGCACCTGACAAAGAATCTTTGTGTGAACCTGCTAGGCTTCATGGGTGTGTATGGAAAATCTAAGGACACACTAGAAGCAATACAAGACCTGCAGTGTATGAAAGAACGAGAGAACCTGCACCTAGAGAAGGTAGATGATGGACACCAGTACTTAAGTCCTGCCAGCTACACTCTTAGCAAAGAAGAGAAGGAAAGCATACTTGAATGCCTAAACAGCTTCAAGGTCCCATCTGGCTTCTCCTCGAATGTAAAGGGGATAATAAATGTGGCAGAGAAGAAATTACTAAACTTAAAGTCTCAAGACTATCACGTGCTTATGACGCAATTGCTTCTAGTTGCATTGAGAGGGATTCTACCTCCAAATGTACAATTAGCCATCGTGAAACTATGTGCATTCCGCAACACAATTTCTTAGAAGGCAATCAATCCAACGCATCTAGCAAAGCTACATAATGACGTGGTCCAATGTCTTGTCAGCTTTGAGTTGGTGTTCCTACCATCCTTCTTTAATATTATGACGCACCTCCTAGTTCATTTGATCAAAGAGATTAGTATTCTCGGTCCTATGTTTCTACACAACATGTTCCCCTTTGAGAGGTTCATAGGAGTCCTAAAGAAATATGTTCACAACCGTGCTAGGCCAGAAGGAAGCATCGTCAAGGGTTACGAAACAGAGGAGGTCATTGAGTTCTGTGTTGATTTTATTCCTGACCTCGACCCGATTGGTGTTCCTGAATCACGGCATGAGGGGATACTAAGTGGAAAGGGAACACTAGGTAAGAAAGCATATATTGGCAAGGAGGACGATTATTTCCGTAATGCACACTACACAGTTCTATAAAACTCCTCCTTGGTGAATCCATATATCGAGGTACACAAGGACATTGTACGTGGTGAATTTCTGGGGAGAACTAAAGCCTGGATTACGCGTCGGCACATGAAAACTTTCAGCGGTTGGTTGCGAAAATGATGTCAGGGTGATGAGAGTCTTGATGAGCAACTATACTTGTTGTCTAGGAAACCATCTTGGCATATCCTGACATTCATAGGGTACGAGATAAATGGCAATACATTTTACACGATAGCCCAAGATAAAAGGAGCACTAACCAAAATAGTCGTGTTCGCATAGATGCCATGGACCCAAATAGGAATAAGAAAACATATTATGGCCGCATAGAGGAAATATGGGAACTAGACTATGGACCTTATTATAAGGTCCGTTTGTTTCGGTGTCAATGGGTGAGGGTGACCGGAGGTGGGGTAACAGTTGCCCATCAGTATAGAATAACAACAGTGGACCTCAACAATTTTGGGTATAGAGACGAAGCATTCGTCTTAGCCAAAGGTGTGAATCAGGTGTTCTATGTGAAGGACATATCCACCAAACCAAAGAAAGGGGAAAACAACAGCGTATCACATAATGAGCCAAAACGCCATATAGTTCTTTTAGAGAAAAGAAATA